CGTGTGCAGCTCCACCAGCCGCTGGCACTGCCGGCACTTGACGAAGCAGCACCAGTGGAACTTGCAGCTGCAGCGCTCGGCCAGCTCCACCTGTGCCGTGTGGAAGCCGCGGCCGCAGCACAGCAGCTCACAGCCGTCGATGGCCTTGGATGTCTTGTTGCACGTGCGGCCCCGCGTGCCCAGCACACCGCTGCGCATGTCCTGCTCGCAGAAGTCCGGGCTGGGCTCCAAGTACACCAGGTCCTCGTCGGTGTGCGGCTTGAATTGCGCGTTGCGCGGCACCAGCGCCCTGGAGGAGCCCACACGCCGCGGCTCCACCTCGGTGGCACCGTCAAACTTCTCCTTCAGGGCGTGGCCCACCTGGCGGAAGGGCGGCACGGCTCGCCAGCAGGTCTTTACCTCGCAGGAGCCCGACACCCCGTGGCACTTGCACTCCACCCGCATGTGCGTCAGGATGGCCTGCACGGGACGGCAGGGGAGAGAGCAGACAGGTGTCAGGGGAGGCTGCGGAGGGGCCGGAGGGGGCTTGGTGGGGGGATGCCGCAGAATCGGAGAAGGATGCATTGCCAGGCTTCCTCTGTATTAAGCACCTACTGTATGTGTGGTGGGCTGGTAAGCTGTGTTGGGGGCAGTTAAAGAAGATATTGGCCCTGCCCTTGGGGCACTTACAGTTGCAGGGGAGAGACGTTTTATTTTATTTTTAAAATACGTTTTCATTGGTTTTCGAGAGAGAGGAGGATAGAGAGATAGAAACATCGATGAGAGAGAAACATCGATAAGCTGCCTCCTGCACGCCCCCTACTGGGGATTGAGCCTGAAACCTGGGCATGTGCCCTGACTGGGAATCGAACCAGTGACCTCTTGCTTCATGGGTTGATGCTCACACCAGCCAGGCAAGGGAGAGATATTTTACAGGGCAGTGTCATATGAAACAGCAAGTGGCAGGTGACATGATGGGGAAGAACACATTTGCATTGAATCTGCACAGGAACCTTGAGTAGGTATGGAGAAGGCAGATGGTATCTGAGAGAAGCACATGACCTTTGCTATGACACAGGATTCACATCCTAGCGTGCTACCTGTTAGGTACGTGGGGGGATGTGTGCTGTGCAGGGCGCCGCTCACTGCTCCTGCCCCCTGCCTTCCCGGAGGTGCCTGGTGCCGGTGAGAGCCTGGGCAGATGTTTTCTGAGTGGCATGTGGGTGGGAGAGTGTGTCAGGGACCTTCCCGAGTCCGCCCCTGCCCCTGGGTGGTGGGGGCAGAAGAAATGCCACGCTACCTTCCTGCCGGCCTCATTGTTGTGGAGGTTCATGAGGGCCCGGCTGGACGAGGCCCCCTTGCTCCTCTCCCGCACGTCCACGAACGACTGTGAGAAGGCCACGCCATAGGCGATGTTGTCGGAGCATCCTGACCACTGGAAGCCTGGGGCCCGGGGGCAGAAGGGGCCACAGATGAGTGACGGCCAGGCCTCTGCTCTCCCACTCACGCCTCCCCACCTCCCGCACTTACCCTGGGGGCTGACCCCGTGTACTGTCCGGTCACAGCCACACTTTTCCAGCTCCCCACTGCTGCACGCCCGCGTCACCGCGAAGGCCACACCTGCTGAAGAGATGGCGTACACGAAGGCCGCCTCCCGAGTCCCTGTGGGCGGCAGAGGGAGGGCAGGCTGGGTCCCGGGGCTCCTCCCCGCACCCTCCTTTTCAGAGGTGGAGGGTATTCGGGACCTGAACGCCGGAGGCCCCTGGAGAGATCTACCTCCCATGGGCCGGGAGCGACACTGCTGGCCATGGTTCTCCCCATGCGATGCTGAGTACACAGACTGCGTGCCAGCATCCTGACGTGTGCTGAGCATGTCATCCTCACAGCGCCCGTGAGGTCAGCACTGCCGTCATCCCCAGCCCACAGAGAGTCAGTCAACTCGTCCCTGGTCACACGGCGTCATCGCTGTTAGCTTCTGTGGGGTTACTGTCCTCAACCCCCCTAGAAGGCTAGTGGTGTTCACGTCGTCTCCGACAGAGAGGCTCAGAGAGGAGAACTGACTTACCCAGACGACAGGGCTGTGACGTGGCAGGCTGGACTGCCAGCCCGTCGGGCTCCCTCTAAAACCCGAGTTCTTCTAGCGCCTATTTCCCAGCTCTGAGGGGCCCCCTGCCCCAGGGTCCTGCCCCGGCCCTTCCTGCTCAGGCTGCGCTCATCCCTGAGTTCCTCTGGCCTCCTATCTCTAAGAGTAAATTGTAATCACAGTGGCCCCTCCTCTTCGCCTGGACCACTGCTACTGAGGTCGGGCCTCTACCACTGGGCCCTTTATCTGTGCCCATTTCACAGATGGCACAGTGCAGGTTTGGGAAGGGGAAGTGATTTGGCCCTAGCACCCAGCGAGGAAGTGATAGGAGCAGGACTCAGACGCAGTCCGTCCGCCTCTGGGCCTGTCTTTCCCTTCCGCCCAGGACTTCTCAGCGGTTCTATTTTGGTGCCTGCCCTCGCCCCCTGCCTGAATGGGTGTTTTTATCCTCCTAGGAACTGTGCCTCGGGGGTGTAGCTTCTGTGGAGCCTCTTTCTGGGGTGTGGGTGGTGGGAGGGAGTGTGCCTGTGTGTGTAGTGCAAGTGTGGTGCGTGTGTGCATGGCTGGCCGGGAGGGTGACCAGACAGGCCCAGCTCCTCTCCTGGGCCCTGTGAGGGCCTCTGTGTGCCCGTGACTGTCCTTCTGTCTCTTGCTGGAGCGTCTGTGTCCGCAGGAGTGGAGGGGGCAGGTTTTGGCCCCGTGGTTGGCAATTACCTCTGCGACACCCAGGCCTGCGCTCTCGGCTGCCCTGGGGAGCAGTCGCCGTGGTCAGACAGAAACAATCACCTCCTCTGTGCCCGTGTCTGTGGACGGGCAGCAGAAAAAGCGGAGCTGGGGTGGGGGCAGCTCAGGCCCTGGTGGCTCAGGATGCCCTGTTCCCGGTTCAGCCCCTGCACTGGGGATGCTGCCCACCACCGTTCTCCACTGCCCACCCTCTGCCCTGCCCTGGCCATTTTGGGCTGGCATCAGGGGCCTTGGCTGGGGCCACGGGGGCCTCGACAGCCCGAGATGGAATCCTCTCCAAGTTAATCGAGGTTAATAGCAGGATCATGTTGGTTGGTTTTGTGCTGTGGCCGCCCAAAGAGAGACGACTTTAGTTTCTGGTATTTCTGGTATTTCCAGGCCTGAACCAGCACAATTCTTTGCCCCAAAGACCAGGGGGGAGGGAAAGCAGGAGATAGGGCCATGGGCCCCAGCTCTGGCCCGGCGTGGTCCTTTCTCCCTTGCTTCTCTGGGCTCTCAGGCAGCCTGGGCCCACCCCTAGCTCTGGCCTCACCACTTCCCTTGAGCGCTCCTGGCCCTGGGGTGCAGGGCGCCCTGAAAGGTTGCTCAGGGAGATCTCTGCCTCATTCCCCAAACCAATACCCACCTAGCAGCCAGGACTCTGGGACCCCTTGCTCTAGCTTCGGGACGAGGACGCTATGATTTTCTCCGCTTGGGAGTGGGCCTGAAGGAAGAGATTCTGGAAGGAGGATAACAATACAAAGAGCTAAAGCTTATAGGACGCACTGAGTGGGGAAGCAACTTGTCCATCAAGACCCAGCTGGGAACTGGTGGGACCGAAACTTGGACTCAGGCAGCCTAGCTCCAGCGCTTTCAACCTTGACATTGTCCTGCCTCAGGGCCGGAGCCCCTGGGAATAAACACCAGCCACTCTCGCCCGGCCGATGTGGCTCAGTGGCTCAGCATCGACCTATGAACCAGGAGGTCATGGTTCGACTCCCCGTCAGGGCACATGCCCGGGTTGCCGGCTCCATCCCCAGTGGGGGGCCTGCAGGAGGCAGCTAGTCAATGATTCTCTCTCATCATTGATCTTTCTATCTCCCTCTCCCTTCCTCTCTGAAATCAATAAAAACATATTAAAAACAACAGCAAGAGAACACCAGCCACGTTCTTACCACCTCCCACCTTCTTAGCACCTGAAACCAAGAAGGACTTCCTTAGGTCTACCCTTCGGTCTCACGTGCTGTAGGACAAGTCCAGTTCCTTTTGTGGGTTCTTTACTGGGGGTGGTGAGCAGCTGGCTGTGTTCAGCACAGGAGGCCCCAGAGGCCTGGAGCACGTGGCCAGGCCACCGTGCCCCTAAAGCCGGTGGCAGTGGCTCCTCCAGCTTTTTCTCACGGGCCCTGGGTCCCAGCCCCTTGACTCTACTGCTGCGGCCCCTCCCGGCTCTGCCTCTTTGCTGGGTGCCAGGCTGGAGCCTTGCTGACTAGTGGGCACCTGGCAGCGACTGCTGAGAGAGGAACCTGCTGAGAGAGGAAACGGATTGTGGGGCGCCTGCGAGCACAGCAGAGGGGAGTTCCCAGCCACGTGGTAGATAACTGCTGCCTGGGCAGGGTTGGCCTGTTCCAGCTGTGGGGAAAGACAGTCCTGCTTTGTCCTCTGGGGACAGCAGGGCCGGCCCAGGGTAAGGCAGGACTCTCTCAGGTGCCAGCCGCTGCCCTGCAACCGTCTTCCTTTTCCATAGAGCTATCGGCCCACCCCACACCCACCTCCTTTCTTCCTGCTTTTGCTCCTTCCCAGGGTACCTCCTCTGCCGGCTCCACTGTGTGTCCTCCCGTCCCGCCTCAGCGCCATCTTTTCCAAGGTGCTAGGCTGCCTGGGGCTGGGAATTCAGAGTTGCCTTATGGATCCAGCAGTAGCTCCCCGTTCTGAGGGCACCGGGGCCTTTGCACATGCTACCTACGGCTCACAACAACCTTAGCAACCAGCTCTGCTCTCCAGAGGAAAAAGCGAGGCTCAGTGGCCTGTCTGGGGTCCCCCAGCCAGTCCGTGGCCCAGAGGGAATTGGAATAAGACCTGTGGCACATCTGGGCACATCACCTGCGATGTCTCTCCCAGGTGTCGGAAGGAAGTGCATCCTGGCAGGAAGGAGTGTTTGGAGGAGAACCAGATGAGGCTGAGTTGGTCTGGAAAGGAAGCCTTGGGCATGGTGATCCCCCGGCACCAGGCGGTGTCCTGGTGGAAGTGCCATTCCCAGCATAACTCACATGTTCCCAAAGCAGACTCAGTGGGGGTCCTGGGAGGTGGGCAGGACAGGCCCTGGTCTCTGAGAAAGACATTATTCTCCATTCTCTCCTCATCCCTGCTCCAGCCTGCCTTTCCAGTTTTCTGCTCTCTCATTAAAAAAATTTTAAAATATATATATATTTTATTGATTTGAGAGAGGAAGGGAGAGGGAGAGAGATAGAAACATCAATGATGAGAGAGAATCATTGATTGGCTTCCTTCCCCATACCCCCACCTGGGGAGTAAGCCTGTAAACCCGGGCATGTGCCCTGACCAGGAATCAAACCGTGACCTCTTGGTTTATAGGTCAACGTTCAACCACTGAGCCACACCGGCCAGGCTCCTTTGCTCTCCTATCTGCAAAAACTCACTTTTTCTTGAGATCAACCTGTGCTGAGTCCGGATTCTATCACCTCCAGGAAGCCTCTTGGATTCAAGAGATGATGTAGGACAGGGGGAAGGGGAGAGGCCTCGGGGCTGGGCCAAGCCGTGTGGAGACCCTGACTGGTGGTGTGACCTTCCTCTCTGAGCCTCCTTCCCCAATTGGAACACGGGACATCCTGCTGCCCGCAGGCCAGACCCTGCACTTCTCCCGCACTTCCTCCCACCGGCAGGCACTGCGCTCCCTGGCCTGTGCCTCGCCATCAGGATGGGGTCGCAGACTGTTTTATCTGCTAAGGGTCCTGTGTGTTTATCTGGCCTCTGCAGCCAGACTCGAAGCTCCTGGGACCAGGCTGTTCCTCATACTTCTCCTCCAGCCTCCAGCCCCCAGCCCCCAGCACAGGGCTGGGCACAGAGCGGGCCCCTCACAGCTGCTTGGAGACAAGGTGGGGAGGGGAAAGAGCAGGGCGCTTGCCAGGCAGGCCTGAGATGGAGTCCTAGCGCTGCCCCCCGCCCCACCCCCCCATGTGAGCCGTCAGCTCTCTGCCCATAGAATGGGGCTGTTAACAGCACTGATCTTGTCAGCTGGTTCTGGAAATCTAATCGGGTAAAGTAGGGACCGTGCTTGGTCTAGTCCCTGGCACATAGTAAGTGCTCAAGACACAGTAGCTATTGCGAGGCTTATTGTTGGGTGATTAGTGCCACTTTATTCATTGCAAACAAATGTCGGTGGGGCACGCACATGCTGGAGGCCAGTCAGCTGACCATGTCTTTGCCTTTGGGCTAAAGGCTTCCTTAGGGCAGAGACCCTTCCTTCCTGCTGCTGCCTGGCCACACGGTTACTGACCACCTGCGGTGAGCTAGGCCCATGCGAGGCACCGGGGCTGCGGAGGTGAATTCACCCTCAAGGAACTCCCAGTGGCAGAATGTCCCATAAATGATCTGATGGCTCCGTAGGGCTGGCCTGAGAGGTCACCAGAAGGAAGGCATGCTCTCGCCCTCCTTAGGTCCAATGTCATGCAAGTATTGAGGACAAATATGAGCATACGTGTTTCAGTGAGTCACCGCCCCAGACTGAAAAGCATTTACTTCTTCCCTTTTTTTTAAGCTTTTTTTTTTTTTGGTAATATATGTTTATTGATTTCAGAGAGGAAGTGAGAGGGAGCGAGAGAGAGAGGAACATCAATAGTGAGAGGGAATCATTGATTGGTGCCTCCTGCACGCCCCCTACAGGGGATCGAGCCCGCAACCCGGGCATGTTCCCTTGGCCAGAATCCAACCTGGGACCCTTCAGTCCACAGGCTGACGCTCTATCCACTGAGCCAAACCGGCTAGGGAAGCATTTACTTATTAAATCCAGCCCGAGGCTACAGCCAGGAAGGTGTCCTAGATGATGTTAGACGCGTGGGGATGGAGAGATGGGCCTGATTTTGAATCTTCTCTTTGCTAGGGCCAGTGCACCACACCCCCTCCCAGCCATGGCAGCCAGAGCCTGAGGGGCCTCAGGGCTCTCTGAGTCCCTTTTTCAGGACAGGAACTTGATGAAGGTCACAGAGAGAGATGCAAAGAGGCAGGGAGGCCCGGGCTGTCTGCAGATGGAGGGAAGCAGGAGAAGATGAGGCTGTCTGCAGATGGAGGGGAGCAGGAGAAGATGGGGCTGTCTGCAGATGGAGGGGAGCAGGGAAGATGGGGCTGTCTGCAGATGGAGGGGAGCAGGGAAGATGGGGCTGTCTGCAGGTAGAGGGGAGCAGGGAAGATGGGGCTGTCTGCAGATGGAGGGGAGCAGGGAAGATGGGGCTGCCTGCAGATGGAGGGGAGCAGGGAAGAGGAGTCTGTGCGCCTTTCCCGCCCTCTCCGCCCTGCTCAGGGCAACCTCCAACCTTCGCGGACTCACCCTTTTCATTCATTCAGCAAGTATTTCTCAGTTACCTGCGGTGCAGGTGCTGCTCTGGGCACCAGGATGAAGCAGTGACTAAAACGCGGAGGCCATCCCGCATCTGGGCCTTAATGCCTGCTCAGCCAAGAACTGCCACTACCTATCCCCATTCCAGGCTTCCCCAGACGCTAATTTTACCAAATTTCCAGTAGATTTTCAGCCTAGAACACACAGTTTGGCCCTAACTTACACACTGTCCTCACCAGTCACCATTATTTCACCATCTGTCTGGCCTCAGTAGGTCGGAGGCAGGGTGGCCACCGCTGCTGGGGGTGGGGAGAGTGCAGGCTTGGAGGCTGGGAAGCCTCAGGCAGTAAGAGAGCCCGAGGGGCATCTCTGTGGGAGCCCGGGAGCCCCTCAGAGGCATTATCTCGCTGAGTCCTGACGGGAGGCCCAGGAGGTTGGTCTGGGATTGTCCCTATTTTACAGGGAGCAGGACCATGAGGCCTGGGGACGGAAGGACCTCCCCCAAGATGTCACAGCTAAGAGTTGGCAGGTCCCGGAGCCCCTTGCTCAGCTGTGAAGCGGGAACAATGCTGCTCACTCTCAGAGTCGGTGCGATCTGATGTAGGCAGCATGCAGCAGGCCCTCAGCAAACCGGGGCTCCTGGCTCCGGGGGCCATCTGTCAGCTGTGGCCTCTCCTGGGTCTGAGGTCACGACCCCAGCCAGGCAGCTCATGAATGCGGTACTGGCCAAGCCCCGCAATTCCCAGAGCTGGGGGCTGTGAGGGAGGCCGGCCCGGGCCGGCTGCTGCTGCTGCCCCAGCCAAAAACGACAGCAGCTGGTGATGACGGACGGCTCCTCTCGGGTCAGGGTCTCCACTAAGTGCTGCCACGCATGACGTCACCGAATCTTCGCGACGACCCATGAGGTAAGCGCACCTGCCGGGCTCACTGACAGGTGAGGATGCCGGGGCTCGGAGGAGTGAAGTCACTGCTCAAGGCCATCAGCCCTGCACCTTCTGTGAGCAGCACCGAGCCCTCGGGATGGACAAGTCCCTTCTCTTGTGGAGCCACACGAAGGCTTTTCCAAGAGGAATTTTACTCAGGAAGAAAATGAAAGATACAAAAGTGAGGAGATGGATGGAAAGGAAGATAGACTCCCGCAGACACGACTGCCCGGGGTGCTGGGCCTGGCGGGAGGGTACCCTGCCTCAGCCCGGAGGGGACTGGACGCTCCAGCTGCAATCCGGAGCAGGTCCCAGCCACGCCCGGTCGGTTCTCAGTGTCTTCCCAAACCTGCTGAGCCAGGGCTGGGCCCCCTCCTTAGCTCTTGTCACAAGCACAGGCGAGGAATGGGGTCCCTCCCGGCTGCAGGCCAGCACTGCCCATGCCTGCCTTCCTCTGCCCCTTCCAGTCCCTGCTCTGACCCGCGTCCTGTCATTGGAAGACCCGCATGGACTGTCTGCTGCATCCAGGCTCGGCCACGTGCTGGGTACCACCCTGGCCTTGGAAGAGCTGGAGGCTTAGGGACGGGGCGTGAGGTGGGGAGACAGGCTCACGGCACAGTCTACAAGGTGTCATGAAAGCGCTTGAACACCAATGGTTTAAACAAAAGTGTGCGTGTGTGTTTTGAGAGCGAGAGGAGAGAAAGAGGGAGAGAGAGAGGGGGAGAGAGAGACAGAGAGAGAGACAGAGAGAGAAGCTGATAAAGGCAAATGGGTTAAAAATTCTTTGTCCTATTTTTGCAACTTTTCTGTAAGTTTGACATTATTTCAAAACAAAAAATTAATTTTTAAAAAAAGGGAAAACCCGAGCGTGAACAAAGAGTTTTAGGGCCAAGAGGGAAAAGCAACCACCTGCTTGCGGAGCTGGGACGCCTGGGGGAGGAACCTCCTGAGTTGGTGGAGAAAGAGGGCTGCGTGTGGGGGTACAGGGCACAGCATGTGCAAAGGCCTGGGGTCTGAAAGGGCCTGACACCTGCTGATCTACCCTCGAGTCCACCCCAGACAGCAAGCACCTGCTGGGTCAGAGGGGCTCCCCATGCTCAGGGTCTGTTATTTGAGCCTCGTATCTGGGCCTCATCACTCAGGCAGCCCCGGCCCCCAGCAGTGGCACCGTCGTCGTCCCGGGAAATCCTCCGCTCCCTGGATCTCAGCTTCTCCGGGCAGCAGTGTCCAGCCATGCCAAGCACGACCGTGCCCGTTTGGCCTCTGCCAGCTCCCGGGAGAATGGCTTCCAAATTTCTATCACAGTTGGTTTCCAACAACATCCACACGTTTGCCACAAGCCCAGCAGCCCACAGGTGCCAAGACAAAGGTTGGCCCAGGCAACGCCTTCCTGCTGCCCGAGCACGTCACAGGGCCCCATGGGCTGCGGGAGGCTCCGGAGTGTCAGTTTCACGCTCAGGAAGTAGAGGAGCGGCAGCTGGTTCACGGCACTTCCTCGAGGGCAGAGCCTGACCCGCTGGCCTCTCAGGGAGCCTTCCAGTTAGTTGCCGGGGACGTTCCCTCTGCCCCGGCCCATGGTCCTTTGGCTCAATGCCCTCTCCTATTCCTGGTCTCCGCGGAGGGCGCACCTTCTGGGAATGCTTTCTCTGAGCCCAGTCCTGGCCAGGGGAGGGGTCCACCCTGCGCTCCCACTCCTGTGTCCCCTCCATCCCAGTGTTTTCTCACGTGGGTACAAGCGACACCCTGGAGCAGGATTTTGGGGCCTGAGTCTTCCTAGTTCTGCGACTTTGGGCAAGTTACGGAGCCTCTGTGTGCCTCCGTTTCTTCTTCTGTAACACGGAGGCCTATTTTGTAACCAAGGGCCAGGTGAGTTAAAACACTTCCAACAGCGTCTGGTCCCCAGTTAGTGCTATCGGTGTGCAAGCCACCGCCCTACTGAGCTGCGGCTGACTGGACGGAGAGCCGAGGAGGGCCGGCGCTGGTGCTGTTTATCCCTGGGTCTCAGGGCCGGGCACGGCGAGGCTCTCAGTGTGGGTGGTCAGAGGTTCAGGTGAGTGAGGCGGGCTTGCCTACGAGAGGCTGGGGGTCAGGAGCCCAGATTTGAATTCCGATTCTGCTGTTCACCCTCTGAGGGCCTCTCTGAGCCTCGCTTTCTTCCTTTGTAACCCGGGATGGCAGCTCCAGGGCTGCAGGCGCCGCCCACCCAGCATGAAGAACA